AATAAAATTTTTTTTATTAAAGAATTAATATTTTGTTGTTCAAAATAGTTTAGAACATTTTTTTTTAAATACAAAAATAGTTTAGAACAAAAAAATGATAAATTCTATTTTTCTTAATTTTTCTAAATATTAAATCAATAAATTAAGAAGTAAACTTACTTATTAGCTAAACTACAACGCCTTTGGTTCATTGGTGCTTTACCATGCTTGGCTAGAAAGAAATAAAAGGATCGAATCACTGATAAATGGTTTATATATATATATATATATAATTTTTTACACATTTAACAAGTTATATATATGGAGATGTAATTGCTAGCTTTCTCTTTTCTCAAATTTTCCTCCTCGTATCAACTAATTTGAAAAAGATTAGTTGAGAGAGACAATGAATTTCCCCCTTTTTTTGTTATTAAAAAATTTATAAGAATTTGTTGGTTTGTATCTTTTTGTTGATTATAAGTTGCCCGAACAACTCTCCTCCAACTTCAAGCTATCTTTTATCTTTATCATCTCTACATAGAATGAGAACAGCAGCAGACTGCAGCAATATCATGGTTCTGCAAAAACAGTTCAGATTACTGATTGCAAATACTGTTTACATTACATTCCTAATCAACATTTCAAGAAACTGCAATTCACAACATTTTCATCAAACTTGAACTTGCATTAATCATGTTTATAGCAGACAGGTTCATATGCATTAAAGCTTAAACAACTTTGATTTTTCTAGACCCCTAATTAGACACTTAACTAATCTATAACTTTTCTAGTATTAACTTAAGAGAGGCTTCTCTTCATCTAACTCACTTTCCAAGCTATCTGCATATGAGAGACCTTCTTTCCCTTTTGCCCACAGCACAAAGTAGAGACCAGTGAACATAAGAACCATACCAGCAAGGCTGCATTAAGATATCAAGTTGTAAGACAAGATTACTGACAAAAACAAATGATCTCCACTAGTTATTCTGTTTTCAATTACCTTCCCATGTTGATGGTGTCACCTAAGGTAATGACAGAGAGAATGACAGAGACAACTGTTCCAATGGGGCTAAACATGGAGACGAGAACCGGTCCCCTTTTCTTCATTGCCCATCCATTGAAGCTCACACAAACTCCACCCACAGAACCTCCCTGCAGTGCATCCAATGGTTTAAGAGTACATTAGTTTCTTGGGTTTTTGGAGTGATTTTTCAAGTCACAGTCATCCCTTTGTTTTCGATTCAGGTATTTTATCAAACACATTTTGGAGACCATTGAAAATTAAATGGCTGTGCTTACCAGTACAGAATAGGCTATTAGGTCTCTTGTGCTGACAAGAGGCGAATCAAATTCAAACTTATGATCTTCCAACAATTGCAGCATTGCAGTTATGAAGACCCCAATCAAGGATGTTATGGCACATAAGGATATTGGAGCAGGAAAATCACTCAGAGTTGTGGCCTAAAAAACAGTAACAGAGATCCTCTGTTGGAATTAATGCTCTTTTTTTTCCCTTTCTTGAACCAAAAGAAAACCCTTTTCAATACGTACCTGTAAGACTACATTGCTAGATAAAACCAAGACGGCAGCCATGAGGTACAAACAACCGACGATCTTGTCCCAGTCGAAGATCATAGCAGGTGAGGGAACTGTCATTTTGGACTCCTTGGGTGAGGAGGTAGTGCTGTGCAATAGGCTCATAGAAAGGGCACCTACCACACACAACAATGTCCCAACAATCTTTACTCTGCTGTATAGACAACTCAGTTTAACCTTCTCTAACCTGCATAAGCATCATAGATATTTAACTTGGTATAGATTATTCATCCTTCTTGATGGATTCTTTGTTCAATGAAATGCCATTTTAGCATTTCTTTAATTTGCAGCTATTTTCTGTGGAAATTTCTAGTGGAAAACTAGAATTCAGCAATTGGAAGTTGACTATGATACCTGCAAGCCCAAGCAATTACAAAGATGAGTGCAGGAGCAAGGTTTGGCATGGCTGTTGCCATTGCTGGAGAAGTGAGCTGAATCCCCTTGAGGAATAAGGACTGGAACAATGTTACCCTG